CCCCTCAACTTTAAAAAGTCATAATACTGCTTGTTAGGTAATGTGGTGCCACTTCTTTATATACCCAATATCAGACCAGAAAACAGTGAAAGAGATTAAAAAATAATAATAATAATAATTTATTAACATCTTATTAACATCTTACATGAATTTTAATGGAAAAATAGCAATTTATACCAATAAATCTTATGATAAGTCTTCAAACCTCTAGAAGGTCATGAACTTAAAAAAATGGGATTTCTTTTCAGGACTTAATAGATATGTTTCAGTTTGTCCATAAAATGAAGTTTAACACAATTGTCTCTTTATTGTGTACCATCTTTCCGGATCTGTCCTACTGTGTTCTCATGCAGCTAAAATATCTTATTTTTCCAAGGGGAAAAATGAGCACTTAAAAAAAAAAAAAAAAAAAGACAACAAAAAACCATTAACTTACCCACATATTCCTGCAGTTTGAAGACTGAAACATTACCTTTTGTGGGAAATGCTGAAAACTGCACAATACCACATGAAAATTGACTGTGAAAATACAGCTGTTATGTATCCAGCTGGGAAATGTTAAGGTTATTATTTTTTTTTCTATTTTTCTTTATGACTGTCATGTGCAGCTCTGTTTCCCAAAGTGCATATGCATTTCTCCCTGCTTGGTGCATAAGGTCACATCAAGATGGACTGAAAAGGGTTGTTAGGAAACTGTGTGTAAGGTGCAAAAATCTTATCACTAAAGAAGGACTCATTTCAAGTTCCACAAATGCATTTGAAGAGGGGTTGGCCTGGTAGTGATCTGCTTGGTGAGTGGTGGGGGGGTGGTACAGGTCCCAATGCAGCTGCAGCACATCTGGGAGGTGTCTGACTTGTGACCTGAATCAGTGCCACCTCTCTGGATGGTGTGTTATTGCTCATCTTAATGCAGCTAAACAATATGAAAATGCCTTTCCTTTTTCTCACATTTCTAACCTACTGGGGAAACTCCACTTCCCTGCTGGGTTAACTCCTGCTTATCACACATTGGTCTCAATACTGTCGCCTCACCTCTTTATAGCCTCTCTGTTGAGGCTCCCAGCTTGGGCCCAGGTGGCTATTTTACACTATGTGCATGAGCAATGAAGATAAATCTGAAGAAAATTCAGTGTGTGAGTAGCCCCATTGCAGCAACAGGGCTATGTGCCTAAGTGCTCACTCATGAGAGAAGAGAGAAGCACAATTGCATGTGCTGGCTCCAGGTCTTGTTGAGGAGCACTCTTAAGTACATTATTATTCACATCTCATTGCCCATCAGAAACAAATAACAACAACAACAACAAAAAGGCAGAATTATTTGCAGTTAGCTTAGTTCGCTCATTATTTTAATTTATTTGCCCTCACCAAGCCCCTAAATCATGATAACTTTGGAAAGGTCACACTATTAATTATTTTCAGACAAGTGTGTATATTCCTGTCAGCATCACTTCTCCAGATCCTTGGGCAAAATGACAAGCTCTGCTTCTATTTTTATAAGTGTAGTGATTTTAATTCAAGAAGTCAGGGTAGAAATCAAACTGGTAATCAGTAACTTCTATTCACATCTAAAACATCTCTTCCCTCACACTCTCCCTCCTTACTTTTGCTCAGAGGTATTTTCTGACACCAGAAATAGGACACTGATTATCACAGTGCTTGAGTGGTTATTTTTTATTTATGTGTGAGTGTGTGTTTGTTTTTTTGTTTTCCAAACTGTAATATGCAAAACAGTACTAGAAGTGCTGGTTTGAGTTTCAGTAGTCCAGGGAAATGTAGGTGTACTGCCTGAATGACTAAATGTCTGGAAATAACTGCTGAAATCATGTAATTACTCTGAAGCCCATGAACCACAGCTGAGCAAGACCATTTTACATCAACAAATGTTGTAACATATAAACTGATCAGAGGCTTCCAAGTGATTGTTTCTAGAGATCCTTAAGTGATAAGGCTTCATTTGTCTAAAATTTGGCTGTCAGTTGCAATGAAGCAAATTCCTGTTTTCTCTGAATGCTATGTTGAAATTATGTGAAATAGCAAGTGCGGACTGACTCAGTCTCAATACCCACTTCTCATCCATAACCATACCCTCTCAAGCACTCATTATTCGTATCTAGACTTCTATATCAATAAAAAATGAATGAACTTCTCATACATAAGATAAGGCTAACCTGAAAAGCTGCTGCACTATTGTGTTATCCAGCTATTGATACCTGGTTGTATTGATACCATACTCAGTGAAGTAATGTCCTGAAGTACAGTTACACCCATCAGAAAGTTTTTGGGTTTTCGAGTTCCTATTGCCCTATGGACTACAGGAAGGCAAGATGCCCCTATCTGTGCAACAGCAAGCCCATTGTTATGGGGAAGCTGGTATCTCTCTGGTGAAGGCTTAACAACTGCTTGTATGCAACATGTGGAAGAGGAGGTTTCTGCATCACCATGGTGGAAGGAAGGAAATTGAAGCTGTCATAAATAACTTGTTGGGGTAGCTGCATGGGTGGAAGTTTGAAGATGTTACTTCAATCTCAGGCAGTTCAAGCAGTTTAATGCTTTACAGCTTTGTCAGTGAAGCTTAATGAAAGCCTGGAATGATGTTTTTAGACCAGCAATGGTCCAGCTGAAACTATGCCCTTTCTGTGCTCCTGGAGAGGAGTAGCAAACAGTCAGTAGCATAAGCCATGTGGTCCTGCATGAGGGAGTCCCCGCCACTGGAAAGAAATTCACCCCAGCTATTTTATCACCTCAGGTCAGTGCAGAAGGAACCAACAAAGATTAAACTTTTTTTTTTTTTTTTTTTTTTTTTTTTACCCCTGGGGTTTCTGGACCATGAAAGTGACTCAAAACATGTTCAAGAGTTAATTTAAAGGTGTGTTCTGCAGGATGACTTTTAAGGCAGGCTCAGAGGGTGGCAATTCCACGATACTCCAAATTGCTTTATGACAGATGGAAGCTAACACTGTGGCTGCAGTCAACCGGTGCTGTTTTGCAACCTTCAGAGCAGGTCCCAAAGCAAAAAGGTTAGCTTATGCACAGAGACCTAGAGATTAAGCCATATGTTCTCGGTGTATTTACAACATGCATGAGTAAATAGCCTACCGTTGGCATATTGTATCCAAGACATGACCATGAAAAATACAGGCTAGATAATTTTTCTTTTGGGATGCATCCAGCCTCCTATGACAATTCTCAGCAAAACATGAAGCTCAGAGAGGATAAGTGCTGGGAAGAGAACTTTTCCTGAAGTGTTAAATTTACAGAAAGGAATGAGGAAAGCTACTAAGTAGCTGACGTGCTGTGAATGCATTTCATACCTAGGACAAAGGTGTTTAACTTTTTTTTCCTGGTCTGAAAGGAAGGTGAACAGATGGATGGATGTGTTTCACCTCTTGTGAGTGAAGACCATTCCTCAGTTTCAGGTAAAAATAGTTATTTTACTGCTAATAAATAATGGCAAAACAAATGAGAACTGAGAACTATTATTTTGGTTTTATTACAATGAGAGTATTTACCCCTAATCTGACAAAGCTCCTTTTCAGGAATGATCTTGTCTTGATTTCTGCAACAATAAGGAAGCTAGCTATATTAAAAATAAAAATAATAAAAAATCATACAGTGACTACCAGCTGGCAACTAATGATCTACCCTTCAAGACTTATTCAACTACTCTGTTCCTTTGCATTTTTTGTTAAATGATGGCAACTGCAGAACAGCAGGTAGCGGGAAACAGAAGAATTATTCTCAAAGTTCAAAGAGAGAAGCTTAATACTTCGGTCTTGCATATGACTGAAGACTAAGAAGAGATATTTAAGAAACTGTTTGCAGTTCCCTGCCAGGGTGCTCCTGAATTGTTACAAAGTCTTTTCAGCTCCTGCTGCTAAGAAATTGCCTGCCTTGTCTCAAAATGGTCCAAATGGAATTCTCCCCCTGTAGACAGATCATCCAGCATTGTTCTTCCTTTATAAGAGATGATAAATTGGATCAAATGTCAGCCTCATATTGAGAAACAAGTTAAGTATTCACAATTTTCTTCTTTTTATCTGAAAGAAACAGCTACTGCAGGGAAAGAGTGATTTTGGACAGCTTGCTACATTCCTGTGATGTGCAAGCATCCTGGCTTTATTCTTGCTAATCAAGTTTTTCCCAACAGTGAACCTTTCCTCTCTGTCTCAGCACACCCACAGCAGTGTGACTATCTCGTAAGCCTTTGATGCTGCAGAATACAGAGTTCTCAATAACCGCCTGGAGCAGTTGGAGAATATAAAAACAGCCTTCTTTTGTTGTGTTTATATCTGTGGCTGCCAGGTTGTCACCACTGGTAATTGTGCTTGTGATTCTGTTCTTGAGACATATGGAGGCACCCAAGGCTCTACACTGAGTTCACCTGTTTTAAGATCCATATCTTTACCTCAGCTTCTGTAACCCTGTTGTCTGGGATGTGCTCTGTGTGTGAATACAATGCCAAAATGTATTTGCCTTCTTTGTTATAGCTTGCCCTAGTGGCCATAGCATGGCCAGATGATCTCATGAAAGTTAAGGACCTAAGTGCTCAGAGGACAAAGAAGCAAGACAGATGCTGCTCTTGAGAAGTTTCCATAATAACTGTAACATGTAAGGGAAAGGAGAAAAAGTTAGTATTTTGTTTCAGTATTAGCACTTTCTGGAGCTCTTTGTATTTCCAATGTCAGCTTAAACTAGACTTTGGAAAAGAAGTCCTAGCACTGGGGAGGCCAAAAATATTGTTTCCTTCTGATTTCAGGGAACTTTCATGTCTTATCTGGGATTTTTCCCTCAGTCTTCAGGAGCATATTAATTCCTTGTTTAATAATTTAGGGTAGATGAAGAATAATCTCAGACACTGGCTAAATTAGAATATATTTGGCTTTTATGTTCAATGTTTCCTTTTTCTAGGCTTCAAAATAATATAACAGCTGTTGATAAATACTAAGATTAGGCTCCAGCATGCACCAGGCAAAAAAAAAAAAAAAAAAAGGATTTATTTGCTATGCAATAGCAATGGACACAGTGAGAACAGGAAATTCATATCAATGTTTAGCACACTAATGTAATCAAAAAGATAAAGTGTTTAAAGTGTTTTCATAACCTACGTGTATTTTCCAAATACTTTACTGGAAAACACTTTTAAAACTTCCAAATCTGCCCTTATCAAACTTCAGAGTCAGAGTAGTCAATGCAGAAATTTTAAGAAGTTCACTTTTCTGTACAGAAAATGCCATTTACAGGAATAAGGCACCTCAGCTAGATCTAGGCATTTTAGAAATGTTAGAATTGGCCTTGCCCCTCAAGAGAAAATAAAATTGTTCCCTATTTTGGCATATAGATGAAGTGGGAATTTAACAGAAAGAAATGTAGAAGTGCATAAAAACTTAATTGAAATGACCTTTTGTTTTCAAGTGGATCTGTCGAGAAAAATGGTTAAGTGTTTGCAACAGATCTTCTCCTTCAGATTGTTTTCAATGTCATGAAATCCTTTCCTCTTCTTGTCCCTCTTTTCTTCCATCTACATCCCCCAATATTCTTCTTTTGTAAATAGATTCCATTACATTTGGCAGCACTACAGCATGCAAATTAACACACAGCAAGTCCTCAGAAGAACATGAGCAATTTCAGTAAGCAGATGTATATCTGTTCTTGCTATTTAGCAACATAATGTGTTGACATTTCCATCTCAGGACTCCAGTGATATTTTTCAGCCCTGAATGCCCTTTTCCCAAAGACACATCCACAGGACAGGTAGTCACAGAAGTCCTGACATACCCTGAGGGAAATATAATTTTAAAATAACATATCTTACCTGCTTATTCATAAGTATGTAGATAATGGGATTGCAAACAGTGCTGCTTTTTGCTAAGATGGAAGGTATGATGCTTGCAACAGGAGTCACCACACCTGGCTTACCAAATGTTGCAAGTAGTGCTATAACTCCATAGGGAATCCAACACACGAGATAACAGATGACTGTAGTGATCACCATGAACAGTACAGTGGTATTCTCTTTTGCGGGCAGTGTTCTTGTGGATTTTTCCAACCTAGTGAAAGATGAAGGGGAAAAAAAGATAGGATTTAAGAAGCTGAGCAGTTTTTTTTTATTGTTTTAATAACCCCAGGACTCTTGATTTTAGATCAGCAATGACAATCAACATTGTAATTCCAGAAACAAATCAACATCGAACCCAAAAGTGAGAGAATGCAATGGGAAGACCTTCATTGTTTCCATCAGACACTGAGGAAAGCCCCACAGATATCATGCTGCATGCCAGCATAACCCAGAGTCAAAGAAGAGGTTGGAGCGAAAACAGAAGTTACCATCTAGTTTTTACTAGTTGGTAGGTCATCTCCAGTTGCTCTTTAGGTATGGTATTCTCTATAAATGCACAATATTTTCACTCAAGTTATTCTAGTCCACAAGACTTGCTTGAGATGGAGAAGCATTATGAAACACGTGAGAACCAACAGAAGCATTTCCTGTTTGGGTTGTGGAAACAGCAGAGCAACATTAAGACTGTGCTAATGCTCAGTACCTCTGCCCTTGGATGTTGTCAAGGCTTGTTGTTAAAGTCTTTTTTGGCCCACTGTAATGTTGGCAATGGTCACATGAAGAGTGGAACACTAGAGAAGCCTTCCAAACAAGACTTTATGAACTTTCAAGTGGTAGGATTCATTCTTTATAGATTATCTGTTCCGGGTAGTTCACCATTTTGATAAATCAGCCTCACTCTTGATAACCGTCAGAATAGTGTTTTTTTTTTTTGTTTACTTGTTTTGTTTTGTTTCTTTGTTTTTGTTTGTGTGCTCTTGAAAATGAATAAATAAAGCATTCCAAATATTGACTTAGTTCGGTTATTGTGTTGTTTTGGGGAAACAGAGAGGAACTGGGTAAACAGGAAAAATAGGCAAATGATCTGTTCAATGCAATGGCACAATAGCCCATATTGCTGTTATGAATTATGAATGTTATGAACCAATAGTTATAGTGTGGTTATAGCTGGGCACATCCAGTCTTGCTGAGGAAGTATTGAAAGCCTCTCCGCACTTCAAAATATATTCTTCTTTGGTCTGTTCTGGACTAATGCATCATGTTCTTTTGGAGTCTAGAGCACTAAGATGGAGGTTAAACATTAAAGTAATGTCTAGATGTTATTTTTAACCCTTGGTGTAAATACATTTCCCTGCAGACTTCTGCTGAACACTGGTTGGTCTTCCTAAACATCTTTGCAGCCAGCAGAGAAAGACAAACTCTTCAAGGAGGTTAATTTTGGTTCCAGTCTCTCTCCAGCATCTCTAGATAGAGCCTCAGCAGACTAGTCTCCAAAGGTTATGGTTAATTCCATAATTTCCCCCCAGCATGTGTTTAGCTAACACAGATGAGCCAGCAGGATTTCAGGAAGTATTAAAATGTTTAAAATAAATCAATCGAGTCTTGTACTCAGCCAAATGTTATTTATATCCACTTTAAGGTCTCTTTGCCTCAAAGTGCAGTTCTTGAGAATAAACTGCACCCAAGGGAACTAAGTGCAGGTAAAACTACAAACTACAAAATAAGCAAAAAGTTAGCTCCTTGAAATGAAATGCAAGCAAACTTAAAAAAATGGGGGGGAGGGGGGAGGTAAAGATGGGAAGGGAAGGGAAGGGAAGGGAAGGGAAGGGAAGGGAAGGGAAGGGAAGGGAAGGGAAGGGAAGGGAAGGGAAGGGAAGGGAAGGGAAGGGAAGGGAAGGGAAGGGAAGGGAAGGGAAGGGAAGGGAAGGGAAGGGAAGGGAAGGGAAGGGAAGGGAAGGGAAGGGAAGGGAAGGGAAGGGAAGGGAGAAAGGAAAAAGAGGAAGCCACTAATTACTTGAGTCTAATGTCACCTCTTGTGTCCAGGTGTGCAACTTTCACATGTTAATACAGTATGTATACTAGAAACTTTATCTACCTCTTTGTGATGTGGGTATTTTTTATAACTTATTTAATTATGTATTAGACTGTGAGTATAAAACATATATAGTATCTGTGTAAGTATATATAGAAGACAATATGGTAACACTTGTTTTTAGTTAACTATGATTCTAGTCTTCTAGAGTGATTGGTTCTACCTGGAATTTTCAGTAGAAAATTTCATGTTGGAAGTAAAAAAATGCACACAGACTTAGTTTACCAAAAATTATCAAGTATTTTTTTTTTCTGTGTAGTCTCCAATGGATTAAAAAAAAATCAATTGCAAAATAAAATTTGTCAGTTCTGAAAACATTCGAGACTATTTTTTTTTTCAAGAACAGAACTTATATCTCATAATTACTTTAGCTTGACAAGAGGATTAATAATAGATAATGGTCCAATCCTGTACTGCTTACTTGAGCTAAATTTCTTGTAACTAATGGGAATTTTGTCTGAAGAATACAGGATCTCTTGTTAGCTTCAGCTATGTTGCAAGCTTACTATTAACCCAGGAATGCAAAGTCCTAGCTCAATAAAGATCTTCAATAAAGGCAGTAGCACCGGTCAGCACATTTTCCTTCTTTGTTCAGATAAGACCTCTGTCCTAAAGAGTTTGCAAGAGTTTACTCTGTGCATAGATGAACTACAGATGAGAAATAAGCGAAGGAAAGATGTTGAAATGATTGCGCAAGAATTTTGTTACACATCCTTCTATTTTTACATCTTCAACTCAGTTCTTTAAGAAGGGAAGCCTATATCATCACTGTGTCTGTTTTAATAAGTCTGTCTGTTGGTTCCAATATCTTCCTTAAAATTTGAGTGATGTTCTGAAACTTAGGAGGTTGACTTAGAGTTTTTGATACTGAATTCTTCACATATCACTAGAGAAGAAGGATCCCTGCTAATGTTTTCATCAAGAAGAAAAATGTAATATGAGATGAACTCAAGTTAGATACCAGAAAATCTACTCTAATTCAGCTTTAATTTTAGCACCTGCTGTTTTTGTTTGTTTGTTTGTTTGTTTTCCTCTAATTTTCCTTTTCTGATCTTTAAAAATGAGAAATCTCTGATCACAGCTGTTCCTGAAACAGGACGTTCATGTGTCCCCAGGGTCTATGAAAGATGACCTTCCGCTGCAGTCTTCTATAATTGAGTTTAAAAACTCATTTGTTGTGAGACAAACCCATTGGAAAGCAAATTTAGTTAGCTGTCATGCTCATGGAATCTTTCACTTCCATGTTTACACCAAGGTATGCAATCATTCTAATTTTCATGTTCCTCATATTATAATTCTATAATATGATTTACTTACCGCCCAGTTCCTGGGATGAGCAAGTTAGAATTTCAGACTTTTTTTTTGAAAGTATAGTTATTTTCAAGAGTATATTTCCATTCTCACTGTTGCAGAGAAAAGATTGAAAGTATGGAACTGCAGATAGGAAAAAGCAAACAAACAAACAAACAACAAAAACAGTGAAGAAGGAACGTAATATACTGTCCTTCTGTAATCTCTCTTGATCCCAAATGACCTGGGTGTCCCAGCTTCCCAGAGCAGAGAAGTATGATAAGATCACACCTCTTGTGATGAATCCCAAATGTATTTGATGCTTTTCTAAGTTTTTTTGTTTGATGCCCAGAGTTGCTGTAGCTGTTAACTGTATTTTATATTTCATTTAGGTAACTCATCTGCTTCCCAAGTGTCAGTAATCTTACTTTTTCATAGTGTTCTGGGCATGAGTCTCCTACTAACTGTTTCATTCTATACTGCCTTGGTCACATGTTTACACCTGAGACTTGAAAGTTCAGTGCTCTTTCAGTACCAAAGCATCTGTCTCTTCTTTCTCTTCTTCTCTTGTGTCTCTTTAAGATATTTTTTTTCTGTCTCTTTAAGCTACTTCAGCCCAAACATGGCTATTTTGATGGTGTAAAGGCAAGCAGCAGAGTCTCAGGGTGTTTATGTGAATTTGGTTTATGTGGAAATGCTTTGGTGGTGGGCAGAGGGCTTCATGGGTGGTCTCTGTAAGAAGAGAAAAGGGGCTGCTCCCCTGTCAGAGCCAGTTCCAGCTGGCTCCAAAAAAGAACCCAACACTGACCAAATCTGAGCCTATCACTGATGTTCTGTGATAACAAATTTTAAAAGGGGTAAAAACTGCTTTGCAATTGTGGAGAGACGATTGAGAAAACTCGAGAGAAACAACTCCACATACACTAAGGTCAGTGCAGCAGGAGGGCAGGAGGTGCACCAGGCAGGCAGCAGCAGTTCCCCTGTGACCTGTGGAGAGGCCCCTGGTGGAGCAGGCTGTCCCCCTGCAGCCCATGGGTCCCACATGGAGCAGATCTCCATGCTGCAGCCCGTGGAGGAGCCCCCGGTGGAGCAGGTGGATGTGGCCTGGAGAAACCACATTGGATCTGCACCTGTCTAGAGGAGCAGGTGGTCTGGCAGGAGCTGCAGCCTACAGGGGAACCTCTGTTCCTGAATGACTGCACCCTGTAGTACAGACATATGATGGAACAGTTCTTGGAGAACTGCAGCCCATGGGAAGGACCTAAGTTGGAGCAGTCCGTGAAAGACATCATTCTGTGGAAGGGATCCATGGGAAGGGGAAGGAAGTGTGGATGAAGGAATGGCAGAGATGAAACATATGCACTGAATGCAGCCCCCATTTCCCATTCCCCTGCACCTCTCGGGGGAAGGAGGTAAAAGGATCAGGAGAGAAGATGAGTCTGGGAATAAGGAAAGGGGGAAAGTATTTTTAATTTTGTTTTTATTTATCACTATCCTACTCTGTAATTAACTGGCAATAAATTAAATTCATTTTCTTCAAGTTGAATCTGTTTTGCTTGTCATGGTAATTGGTCCTTGTCCTTATCTTGACCCACAAGTTTTTTCATCTTACTCTCTGCCCCTGTCCTGCTGAGGAGCAGGAGTGAACAAATGGATGGCTAGGCACTTGGTGACCAGCCAAGGTCAAACCAACACATTGTGGTATCACCCTGGTAATTCTGGAATACATTAATAACACACAAGATGCAAGAGGATTTCAACAAGGTTTAGACTACTCTGTAGAAGTGGCCCTGGAGTTTTGTTTTCAAAAGCATATACTACATTTATCT